CTGATGCTGGGGTCGATGTTGGGGTTGGAACTGGCGCCGGTGCTGGAGTCAGTACTGGAGTTCGTGCTGACGCTAGCGCTGGCTGCGGCATTCGGGTCATTGCTGACTTCGGTACTGGCACCATTGCTGGTGTCGGTGCTGGCGTCGATGGTGACGTCGGTGCTGGCGTCGATACTGGCTTCGTCACTAGAGTCGATGCCCGCGTCGAGGCTGGCGTCAGTGCCGATGCTGCAATCGCGAGTGTCTCCGATGATGCTCTTGGTGCTGGCGTCACTCATGGCGTTGGTGCTGGGGGGCAGTGCTCGCGTCGATGCTGGCCGGGGTCGACGCTGTCCTCGATGCTGGTGCGGATGCTGGCGCTGGTGCTGCGGTCAGCACGCTGGACGATGCTGGCGTCGGTATGTCGGTGTCGATGCTGATGGTAAATCTGGCGCCGATGCTGCCGTCGATGCTGTTTCCGCTGCTGGAGTCGGCGGTGGTGTCGATGCTGGCGTGGATGCGGGTTCTGACGCTGGAGCCGGCACCATCCGCGGTTCGCGCGTCGACGCCGGCGTCGATGATGGCGACGGTGCTGGTGCCGATGCTGCAGTCGATAGCGTCGGCTTCGATGCTGACGGCGAATCTGGCGTCAATGGTGCCGTCGATGCTGTTTCCGCTGCTGAAATCGATGGTGGTGTCGATGCTGTCCTCGATGCGGGCTCTGGCGCTGGAGTCGATACCATCCGCGTTTCGCGCAGCTGCTAGCGTCGATGATGGCAACTGTGCTGTTTCCGACGCTGCAGTCGACAGCGTCGGTTTCGATACTGACGGTGAATCTGGCGTCGATGCTGTTTCCGCTGCTGGGGTCGGCGGTGGCGTCGATGCCAAAGTTTACGCGGGCTCCCGTGCTGGAGTCGATGCTGTCCTCGATGCGCGCGTCGATGCTGGCGTCGATGCTGGCGTCGGTGCTAGGCCGATGCTGGCGTCGGTGCGGACGTCTAATAGACGTCCGCACCGAAGCACGTGCCAACAGTAACCGCGACAACAGAACAACCAACAAAAAATCATTTTAAAGAAACATCCATAACTTCCGGTTGCGGTGGTTTCTTGCGCGGTCATCTATGCAGGCTCCTGTGCTGGAGACCCCAGTGGTGGGCCTCTCGCGCTGCATGTGGAATTCATTCGAACGACCTTGCGCCCGTGCTGGGGGGGCACGATCCGTGTCAAAGAATGCCACGCCGGCCACTCGCGCGTCGGCCGCGCGCGCATGTCGAACCCTTTTTCAAAAATCTGCATCGCCGACGCGATGACATCGTCATCCTTATCGGCGGGCGTGATCAACATCAGCGCCGTCATTGGCCTTGCCGTCGTCATCGCCACCCTCGCCACCAGCATCGCTACTCTCATAATCATCTTTACCGTTGTCGGCGTCGCCAGTATACCGCGCCCGCCCAAGGCACCGACTCGCACTGAAGTGCCCGCTGGGAGGTGCCCAACGGTCAGCGCCACCGCAGCCGCGTCGGTCGCACCAAACTAGCTGGCCGTTGTGCTTCATGCGCGGTCTAGCGCGGCCGCAGAGATGCACCAGCCAACGCAAAGCACTCATCGCAATCGCCGCCGCATGGGTGTTGCCAACCAAGTTGCGGGCGGGTGGGCGGGGCGTTTGCAAAGGCGTGGCATGTGTCAACTCATTTGTAAAGATCAATTGCGCCACAGAGGTTGCACTACATAGATTGCACCAAATTGTTTCCTCTACTGCACAACCTCTACTGCGAGAAGCACACTGTCTGGGGCCCACGTTGGTTAACATACCATCGGTTGCTGACAGATGGTGGCGCTTGCGCATGTTCGGCGTTCAGACGGCCCCAAGGGCCAACAAGATAGCCCCAAGAGCGCCCAAAAGGCCTCGAAAATGACCCCATTATGGCCCGAGAGGCCCACACGACGACCCCAAGAGGGTCCTAGGACGGCCCAGGAGACATCCAATACGCCCAAGATGGTTTCCAAGACGGCCCTGAAGCGCCCCAAGAGGGCACGAAGTCGGCCCTGAGAGGCCCGCAAGAAGACCCCAAGAAGGCCCTAAGACGGCCCAGGAGACATCCAATACGCCCAAGGTGGTCTCCAAGACGGTCCTGAAGCGCCTCTAGAGGGCACGAAGTCGGCCCAGAAATGCTCGCAAGACAGCTTCCGACGGTGTCAGACGGGCCAGGAACGCCCTCAGACGGGCCACTAACGTCCCAAGGAGCCCTCAAAGAGACCCCCAAGAGGCCCTAGGAAGCCTCCAAGAGGCCTCCAAGAGGCCTTTAGGAGGCCACCAGAGTGCACCAAGAGGCTACCAAAAGGTATCCTCCTCCTCCTCCTTCTTCCTCCTTTTCCTCCTCTTCTCCTTTCTCCCCCACGTGTTCCCCGAAGTGTTTCCAAAACGGATCGGGAAATAACACCTAGTCCGATAGCTTGAGCGAGCACTGGCCGCAACCTTCGGCCACATAGGCTCTTGCAAAAGACAGGGGGCGGCAGTGATTCGCCGTGGGTGTCGTCTTCGAGTATGGGCCGGCGGAACGAGCGAAACGATAAAAATTCGGCGGACCCCCTGCGGGCCCTTGCCGTGTTAGACGTCGAGGGCCGATGATGAGATGGAGGATTATGGAGAAGAGTGAGAAGCATGCATGAAGGCATGCTGAGAGCAGCTTCGCGCATTCCGCTGGCCTCAAAGATAGCCGATTCCCGCAAGTCTCCTGGGAACAAGCATAAGTACGAGCGAAACGTGGTCCCAGCGCTAGGCCCACACGCGTGACAGCTCCTGGGGCACGTGCAAACACGAGCGAGATGTGCCCTCAGGGCTGCGAAAGCCTCGTTTCGAAGCACACCTTACGCATTTCCTGTCTCACATTGTTCTGGGACGCGGAACAATACAAATGATCATGTTTCTCATGGCTACGACACTGCCATTCCGGCACACCCCTCACGCATTTCCCGTCCCACACTCTACTGGGACACGTGAAAATTCGAGTGATCTGCCTCTCGGGCTCTTGGTACACTCGAGGCTCCTAGGAAACGTAAAAATACCGGTGAGTTGCCCGTTCCACATTTGCATGGGAACCTCAATTCGGCACACCCCTCACGCACTTCGCGAATGTTGGGCGCCCAGCTGGCCCCCCAGACGACTCCTTGGAGCCTCAATTCGGCACACCCCTCACGCACGTCGTGCCGCTTCGACCCCACAAGGCCCTTGGTTGGCCTCCAAGACCGCCTAATCCCCGAAGGGGCGCAAACGCCCGAAAGAAACACTGCAACGATTGGTACCGACCCTCGTCGAGGCAATATTGACTGCAAAATCTGCGTGCAAGCTTCCCACAGGGGGGCCAGCCGTAACTCCAGCTCTGCGAGCTCAGTCGAAGTTCGTAAATCGCCATGTGCGTGGGCACAGTGAGGCCCACGATACAGAGAGCGTTGGAGTACGGTCGGACCTAGGACAGAAAGACACCCTTCAAGAGCATGAGACCCTCCGCCGGCCAAATTGAAGAGCAGTCGAGAGTGCCCTCCCCCAAGATGCGAAAGAACATCAAGCCAACACGAAGAGCAGCAGGGTACCCTCCCCAGACCGACCTCGATCTTATACCTCGGTCCGACCGTACTCCCCCACACTCCGCTGCTGCTCCTTCTCCAGGGCGCTCCGGCCCGGAGGGGAGGGGAGGGCAGGGGCGAAGACGGGGAGGGTGAGGGACGGAGATCCGCGGGGAATCCCTCCTCCTCCCCCTGCTCCTCCTCCTCCGCCTCCGCCTCCTCCTCCGCGAGGGAGTGGTCAGGGCAGAGATGGGAGTACAGAGGAGGATCGTTCCGAACGATCCGTTGGAAAGAGGGAGATGTGAGCATCCGGCTGGATTCGATCCCACACCCCACCTTGGGGTTAGGAGGCAACTACTGGGAGGTCTTCGTCGGAAGGACTGGAAAGGATTAAGCCCCCATTGGGGCGCTACTACGCCAGATTAGGCCGCGGATTCAGCGGGGTTCAGTCGGATTAAGCGGGATTAAGAGGGATCCAGCTGGATTTCGGACTGGGGCAAAGTCAGAATGGGACCTCCCAGAAGTTGCATGCGAACAGCTGGACTCGATCCCCCACCCCACCTTGGAGTAGCCGCCCCTCCTCGACGAAGGACCCCCAGAGACGAGAAGAGGGCAGGCCAGCTCCGAGAGGCCGCCCGAGAAGAGAAGGCCGACCACCCCCCCGCCACGGGCGAGACGCCCCGAGGGCGCGCCGGCGGGCCGCCCTCGCACACCCCTCGAGGCCTCTCAAGTCGACTACTTACCAGACAACCCCAGCCCAACCCGAAGAACCGAATTTCGGGTTGGGAGGGGTACGGGTTCCATGTGTGTTTTTGCCAATGTTCCCAGACCCCCGCCCCACTGGAAATGGAAGGCATATTGAGGCCTTCGGGTTGGGTTGGGGTGGTTTGGTGAGTGGTGACAAGTGGGGCCCGAGCAGGGGGAGTCGGAGGGTCGTGCCGCATCGCCCATTTGCGGCGAGCGCGGGGGGGAGGCGAGGAGGGGCGGGCCTTCTCAGAAGGCTCGGAAGTCCCCTGGCCTTCAAGGAAGTTCTCCAGGCCTTCCCCGAAGACTAAGACGCAGAAAACTTCTCAGAAAGCGCGAGGGCTTCTGAGAAGTCCCGCTGCCTTCAGAGAAGGCCTTCTCCTTCTCATTTCCCCCCTCGCCCGCCGCTGACCCATGCATCGCCGATGCATCGGCAACTTTGGCGATGCATCGGCGACGTTAGCTTAGAGAAAGCATGAGAAAACCGGGGATCGAGCCGCCTCGCCGATACACATCGGCGATGCAGCGCGAGCCTCTAGCCCCATCTGCTTCGACCCCGCCTGGGAGCCCTCCCTTCTGTGGACAAGCGCGTTCCACCACTCGCAAAGTCACCGCTCGCAAATGGCCTGGATCAGCCGCGGAGGATTCACGATCCGTTACATCGAGGCAAGCGTGTGTTTCGGACGTTTGCGAGTGGGCACTTTATGGAGAGAGCTCGGTGATCATGGAGCTCCCGAGGGAGCACCAGGGAGATGGGCGCGCAGGCCTGAGCACAGGGACCGCCCGGGCCTCGACGAGCCCGCGGGCCCACCCCCCCGGGCGACCACCTCGGGTGTGCGTTCGCGCGGGGCGCGGCGGACCTCCAAAGCGTCATCGTCGTCACCCGCGTGGGTGATGGACTCCAAGACCTGCCAGGGGAGGGGGGCGGGGGAGGGAAGGGAGAAGGCGGAGGAGGAGGGGGGGTCCCCACCTTCTCCCTCCTCTTCATGACATGATTCCCTCCCTCATCCTCCCTCCCTTGTCTCCTTCGCCTGCCACTGTCCACCCTTACAAAGTTACCCCAGCCAGCGGTCAAACTCGCCAGGCTACTAGCTTGATCCCCCCCAAGGCCGACCGGCCCTGGGGGGGGGGCTACGAACGACACTCCTTCCAGACATCGCGGATCAGGAATCAAGAGGACGGGGACGTGGCCCTCCCCCCCCCCTCCCTCACCAGCCTCGAACGTATCCCCATCCCTAAGATTGACACGCCACAAGGCGATGACAATCTCAGGGATCCGCCCTCAAAAAAGAAGGGAGTCCCTGAGATTGGCATCGTGATGAGGAGGTGCCCAGCACAGGGATAGGGATAGGTTCCAGGCTGGTAACTCCCCCCCTCTCACGGACACGGGGCCCCCCGGCCGTCCGCCCGCGGCGCGCCTGGCGCGCGGGGCAGGGCGGCGGAGCGGACAGGGGACGGCGCTCCTGCGGCTGAGGCAGGCGAAGGGCCGAGGAGGGTGCGGGAGGACGGGCGGCGGAGGAGGGCAGCCAGGCGGGCCGAACTCGGGGGGTCCCGATGTGCTGATGGATGGACTTCACGGAACGGCGCCCCGCGCCTGATTGGGACCCGAGGAGGCCGCCAGTCTCCAGCGTGACTCTGATGTATGCGCCTACTGATGGGCTGCACTCTCCCAGTACTCCCTGAGACCACCACGGTGGCCTGCAAGCACCACGTGTGCCTGTGAGCCCGAACCGATACTTGCGAGCACCACATGCGCCTGCGAGCACTACAAAATCCTTGCGAACACCAGACGTGAAGGGAGCCAGACCGCGCCAATACCGCATAGCACGCGACCACCACAGTGCACATGAGAACGCATGAATATAGGGCGACGACATCTATGCATATCCACTGCTCCTGGCCAGGCCAATCCTGGGCCCAGGAGCGGTGTATACGCCCTCCTGGCCTGGCCACGGAGGCATATACACATCTCCTGGGCCCAGGATGGGCCTGGCCAGGAGCAGTGGATATGTATAGATCTCGTCGCCCTAGAATATGCACCACGATGAGCCTGTGTCCGCCAGTGCACAGACGGGCAGGAATCGGCGACGGAAGCCGGACCGTGCCAGAACCACAACAACCCAACGCGCACTCACAACAGCACGCCGGAACCTTTTTTTGCGCACAGAGGATCAGCGCCGACGCAGTTCAGAGGTTCCAGAACTCCTGATGCAGAGACAACACTAAGCTTGTTCTCTTGAGCACTTGTGCTCTTAAACAGCACGCCGGAACCTGCCACTGCCACAGCACCCTGCCAACCGCGCAACGTGCCTGCGAGCACCACGCCAAACCTGGGAGCACCCCAGGGCCGGTGCTCTTCACGGGCCCCCGGCCCGGAGAGGGCCCCCAGGAGCAGGAAAACGGCGACAAGACTCCAGGACCCACTCGCCATTCCCCTCAAGACCCCCCCTTGAAGCGCTGCATGGCGAGGGGGCAGGAGGGGACGACGGCGCACAGACGGGACGCACGGGAGGCGTCCCGGAGGTGGCCGCGCGGGGGGCCTTGTTTTTCAGGATGTCCAGGCGCGCCATCTTCTTCCGAAGCTGCTGCACCTTGGAGCGGCGCAAGTGCCCCCCCTCCCCCAGCTCCACTGGCGCGGGGAGCGCTGCGGGCGCCGTCGTCGTCGTCGTCGTCGTCGCCGCCGCCGCCGCTGTCGTCGCCGTCGTCGTCGTCGGCGTCGTCGTCGTCGGCGTCATCGGCGTCGTCGGCGCCGCCGCCGTCGTCGTCATCGTCGTTGTCGGCGTCTATCATTCCTTCCATATCGCCCTCACATCTGCGCCTCCCTGACCTTCTGTCTTCTGCTTCTGATGCTCCCTTGCTCGGCCTCCCCTCCTCTTTCAGTTTGCTTGCTCCTTATCCCTGCATTATGTGTCCTCATCCTCCTTCTCCTACTCCTCCTCCTCCTCCTCCTCCTCCTCCTCCTCCTCCTCCTCCTCCTCCTCCTCCTCCTCTCCCTCCTCCTCCTCCTCCTCCTCCTCCTCCCCTCCTTCCCCTCCTCCTCCTCCTCCTCCTCCTCCTCCTCCACCTTCTCCTCCGCATCCGCCTCCGCCTCCGCCTCCGCCTCCGCCTCCTCCTCCTCGTTTCCCCTCGAAGACACCCCGAGGTCCCCAGAAGGCTATCCATGTCTCCCACGGCAGAAATCGTACGATCATAGATGCAGAAATCCGACACTGTGCCTCTGGGCACGGAATAGGCCTGTCCGCAGGTCTTTTGCCTAATCCTCTAAGCCTCAATCCTCACTCCTGAAGTGTCCTTAAAAGGCCCAGGCCCCAAATTCCGTGCCCCCTGGGACTTCCCGTGTGCCACCTGGGCCCTGGGAAGTGTTGTCGCGTGAATCTGTCGGAGGCCTCCACGAGGACTCCCAAGAGGCCAAAATCATTGATGTTTCTTCGGTGAGGCCAACATCATTGATGTTCCTTCGACTTTTCAAGGTTCTCGCCCTTTCCGCTTCCCGACGCTCTCAGACTGCCCTAAGGCCCCAAGCACCGCCCCAAAACGGCCCAAGAGGCCTCCGGAGGCCCCAAGCGGCCCCCGGCCCGGGAGAGCCCAAGAGGCGTCCAGGAGACCCACAAGAGGCCCACAAGAGGCCCCCAAGAGGCCCCCAGAGGCCCCCAAGAGGTTCGAAAGAGGCCCCAAAGAAGCCAACAAAAAGCATCCAAACTGCCTCGAAGAGGCCCCCGAGAGCCCTCCCACGAGATCCCCAAGCGAACATCCAATAGGCTTCATACCCACAGCCCAGGCACGGTGGCGGGATGGCCGGAGGCCATTCGAAAATTGTCCTGGCGAAGGACCCAAGCATATGCAGTTGTGAGTACCGCAGCTCTGAGTATAGTCTTCGGTAGATTCCACCATTCGGCAACGAAACATGCGAGAGGCATGCCGACATGGGGGTGGGTGGGGGCCGCGCGCGGACCGTGCAATTGGGGCCCTCGGTGGAGCTCCGTATGGGGCCACGAAGCGCGAAAGGGGTGCGCCAAAACAGGCGTCGTTCCAACAAGCGAACGTTCCCTCTGGGGCCTTGGGTTGAGCTCCCTATGTAGCCACGAAGCGTGCGACTGGTGTGCCGAACGTACGTCGCCCACATGCCAAAGCTCCGTTTGGGGCCGTCGGTAGAGTTCCCCCTGGGGGCGAGGGGTGTGCCGACACGGGCGTGACGCCCACATGCGAACGCTCCCTCTGGGGCCTTCGGTGGAGTTCCCTGTGGGGCCCAGAAACGTTGAGGGGTGTGCCGACACGGGCGTGACGCCCACATGTGAAGGCTCCCTCGGGGCCTTCGATGGAGCCCCCTTTTTATATGGTACCACTAAGAAGCGTGTGAGGGGTGTGCAGACACGAGCGTGACGCCCACATGCGAACGCTCCCTCTGGGGCCTTCGGTGGAGCTCCCTGTAGGAATGCGGTCGCCAGGGTTGAAGAGAGAAAAACAAAAAAAAAATGACCAGGGCTGGAAAGAGTGGAAGGGCTGGCCCCAGTCACTTTCTTTTTCCAGCTTCCATGTTATGATCCTTGCAAAGGGCCCAAGCATGTGCAGTTATGAGCACCGCAGCTCTGAATATACTTGTCGGTGGGTTCCACCATTCGGCAACGAAACATGCGAGAGGTAAGGGCATGGGCCGCGCGCGGACCGTGCAAGTGTGGCCCTCGGTGGAGAGCCTTCTGGGGCCACGAAACGGTTGATGGGGTATGCCGAAACGGGCGTCGCGCCCACATGCGAACGTTCCCTCTGGGGCCTTGGGTGGAGCTCCCTTATGGGGCCACGAAACGCGTGAGGAGTGTGCCGAAACAGGCGACGCTCCAACATGCGAGCGCTCCCTCTGGGGCATTGGCTTGAGCTCCCTATGTAGCCACGAAGCGCGTGAGGGGTGTGCCGAGCGCCCGTCGCTCACATGCCAAAGTTCCGTTTGAGGCCTTCGGTAGAGCTCCGTATAGGACCACGAAGCGTTGAGGGGTGTGCCGACACGGGCGTGGCACGCACATGCAAACGTTCCCTCTAGGGCCTTCGGTGGAGCTCCCTCTGGGGCCACGAAGCGTGAGGGGTGTGCCGACACGGACGAGAAGCCGACGTGCGAAAGTTCCCCCTGGGGCCTTCGGTGGAGCTTCCTGTGGGACCACGAAGCGCGTCACTGGTGTGCCAAAAGGGGCTTGACTCCCACATGCGAGCGTTCCCTCTGGGTCCTTCCACTCTGGGGCCACGAAGCGCGTGAGGGGTGTGCCGACACGGGCGTGACGCCCACATGCGAACGCTCCCACTGGGGCCTTCGGTGGAGCTCTCTACGAGGCCACGAGGCGCGTGAGGGGTATGCCGAAAAGGGCGCGACACACACAAGCGAACGTTCCCTCTGGGGCCTTCGGCGGAGCTCCCCATGGGGCCACGAAGCGCGTGAGGGGCGTGCCGACACGGGCGTGACGCCCACCGGCGAACGTTCCCTCTGGGACCGTCGGCGGAGCTCCCTGTGGGGCCACGGAACGCGTGAGGGGTGTGCCGAAACGGGCATGACTCCCACACGAGAACGACCCCACGAACATCAAATAGGAATCATACCCACAGCCCAGGCACGGTGGCGGGATGGCGGAAGGCAATTGGATAATTATCCTGGCGAAGGACCCAAGCATGTGCAATTGTGAGTACCGCAGCTCTGAATATAATCCGCCGACCCCTTGTGGGTCTCAAGGCGCGTGAGATTCTTCCCCCCACCTATAATCCCCTCCAGGGACCCCAAAGCGGCAATTCGCCCCCCCCCCCCCCCCCCCCCCGGGCCCGGCCCGACCCCGGACCGAACGCGCCACAGGACTCCAGAACTCGGCAGAAAGGTACCAAAACTCGCCAGAAAAGTTACCGAAGCGTTCCCTGGACGGCCCCCGAGACCACGATTCGCCGACGTAGCGCCCCCAGACGCCCACCGCCCACGATGGCCTCCAGGCGGTCTCCGAAGCTGCCAAGACGCCCCAAAAAGGCGCCTAAGATGCGCCCCGAGAGGGTCGCAAAAAACAAAAATCGGCTCATTTCGTTCGAAAACCACGCGTTACTCCGCATGCTCGCCTACTTGGCAATCACAACGTCCACGACAGGCAAAGAAGCCTTCAACATCGCTCCCAGACGGCCAAAGGGGCCTCAAAACAGGGTCGCTGAGGGCCCAACAACAGCCCAAGAAGCCCCCACGACAGCCCAAGAGGGCCCCCAGACGGCTCTAACACGGAGACCACAGGGCACCTTTTCGAGCCTTCGGCTCCAAGACGCTCCCAGCCTGCTCCAAGAACACCCCAAAAAGGCCTGCGGGACCTCCCAGAAAACCTCCGAGGCCTCCAAGAAGCCACGAGGAAGTCCCCAAGAGGCCCCAAAACTACCTGCAAGACGACCCCGTCAGGCCTCGCACGAGATCGTCTTCACCATCCGTGTGGCCGCCTACCTGTATACCGCGCAAGGTGGCGGGAGCGCCGCGTCCCATTCGACAACGACTCGTCCAGTTTTTGGACCGCCGCATACCGTCTATGGGCGCGGGTGTTGACAGGCATTTCCCCAAATCGTCACTCTTCCTTCTCCTCCTCCTCCTCCGATGGCCCTCCTCCGCCTCTCCCCCATCCTCCCCCTTTTCCTCCTCCTCCTCCTCCGCTTTCTCCTGTTTGGTACCATGTCACCATCTCTGCGTCTCATCATCAGCCATCACCATCACCACCACCACGGATCACCATCACCACCCCCACGGATCACTGCCTTGTTGCGTGCCTGGACACATGTGATGCAATCCGCATCCGCCAACCCCATTCAAAGCCTCCAACCGTGTAAGAGTCGTCCCGTGAACGGCCCCACATGCCCCCGGAATCGCTCGGGGATGGCCCCGAAGAGCCTCGAACCCGCCCACCCAAAGAAACAAGACAACACAAATACGCCCCAGGACAGCAACACGACATCGCCAAGACGATCAAGGGGTCGGCGGATGTGGCGTAAGCCTATAGAATCTTCAGTGGATTACACCATTGGGCAACGAAGCATGCGAGAGGCATGCCGACATGGGGAGTGGGGTGGGGGCCGCGTGCGGACCGCGTAACTGGAGCCTTCGGTGGAGTTCCCCATGGGCCCCCGAAGCGCGTGAGGGGTGTGCCGAAACGGGCGTCGCGCCCACATGCGAACGCTCCTTCTGGGGCCCTGGGTGGAGCTCCCGTATGGGGCCACGAAGCGCGAGAGGGGTGTCCCGAAATGGTTGACACACGGAGGGCAGAGGCAGGGATGGGAGGAGGGAGGAGGGCAGCGGAGGGAAGAAGACGCGGGGCGCTCTCTTCAACAGAGATACCCAACATCACAGGATGGTTGGGACAAACAAACATATCAATGACTCTGTGCCACATCCTCTTCCTCCTCCTCCTTCTCAGTGACGATCTCCCTCGTATCGTATGTATGATCCTCCTTGCCCCCTCTTCTCAATCCTTGCCCTCCTGTTCTCCCTCCTCCTCCTCCTCCTCCTCCTCCTCCTCCTCCTCCTCCTCTTCCTCCTCCTCTTCCTCCTCCTCCTCCTCCGCCTCCTCGAACGGGCCGCCTCGTGGAGCGGGAGAGGGGACAGGGCAAGGCCTGCCCCTCCCCCCGCAAGCGAGCTCCCTGCGCAGCCAGGGCCCTCGGCCCGCCCTTTGCCCGGCGGACCGCCCGGAGGACACATCGGCGATGGGTCCCCGATAGCGAAGCCACGTAATCCCGGGCAGTGTGGGGAACCAAGACCCTGATGGGCGATGAATGGGCGATCGGGGGTCGTTGCTTCCCCCCGTGAGCCTATCACCCCCTCGTGTTGCCCCTGAAGGAGGACTGACTGACGGGCCTCAGACCCGGCGGAGTCCCCAAACTAGACAAGGTTCGGATCTATCTGAGGGCTCGTGCGTCCGTCACCGTGCACGAACGTTGATCAGCAATAGTAATTCTCTGGCCACAGCCTGGAGTGGCCTCGGTTCGGGATTGGGAGGAATGGGAGAGAAGTGAAGGGAGGAGGGGGACGAGGTGCAAACAGAATCGGCACAGGCAGGGGGGGGGGGGAACGGCGCTGGAGCACGGGGGAAGGCCAGAACGGACACGGGGAGGAGAGGTGCCATGAGGAGGGACGGAGGAAAGGAGAGGGCCCCACCCCCTCCTGCCCCTCAATCGCCCCCCCCCCCCTTTCCCTCTCTGACCCGCCTCCTCCCCCTCCTCGCCTCCCTTCTCCCCTTCCCCTACTCTTCCCTCCCCCTCCCCTCCCAAGGCCTCCTCCCCGCCAGCAGGCCGAGGCCGCTGTGGCACAGTCCCCTCCTGTCCCTCGTTGCCCCGCCTCCTCCCCCTCCTCATCTCACTCATTCCCTTCCCCCTTCCCCCCATCCCAAGGCCTCCACCCCCAGGCAGGCCGAGGCCATTGGTGGCACCCCACCCGGCCTGCTTGAAGAGCTCCTTGTTCTCGTCCGCCAGCTGGGCGGCGCAGAGGGTCGGGGGGAGAGGGGGGTGCGGCCTGCAGCCGAGCCAGCACTGGCAGGGACGCCGCACGAACAGACGCGGAAGAATGCGGGCCTTCGCCCGAGACACCGTGTACCCATCGGTCGGAGGAAGTAGGTAGAAACATACGGCCCCCGAAGAGGAGGGGAAACCACTCGATCATGGAAACAGAAAGGCGTCCAAAGTAGGTTGAGGTCCGAAAATTCAAAAATACCTACGTCCAACGACCGACGGGTCCTTGTTTTGTTGAACGTCTCACGCTTGCGAACCCAGCCCGAATAATGTCCACTATACTATGTGCGGTGGCGGCTTCGAACATAGTTTTCATGGTCGTGCTCTCGTCCCCGAAGCACCAGAAGGAACGCTCCTCCCTCCTCCCTCCTCGCTCCTCCCTCCTCCCTCCTCCTCTCCCTCCCTCCTCCTCCCTCCTCCCTCCTCCCTCCCCCCTTCTTCTCTGAGCGGCTTCCTTTCTCGTCCTCTCCCGGGAGTGCGTTCTGGCCAGGATTTCGAAGCGAATCCAGCGGTGGCAACGAGGGCCTCCGAGGAGGCCCAAAAGGGGAAAAACGGGCGAAGGGTACAGGTATGGGTACCTTTTCCTCCTCTGAAAGATGGGGGTTAGGGGAGAAGCATCGCCTGCGAACTGCGAGTCCTTCACACCCATCCTGACCATGGCTCGAGATCACACAGCGCCGCGCCGTGCAGGGGGCGTCGCCAGGGCCGAGGCGCTGCCGAGAGGGCGCAACTCGCGGTAGCACCCCCTCCGGGGGGGGGCCGGTGCCCGCCGAGCTGGCGCCCCAGCAGAAGGCAGGGGGGGAAGAGAGGCAGTCCCTGCGGGAAAGGCCAACATACTGCACAGTTTCCCGGGGCCGTAGGCGACCGAGGAGAAGAAGGAGGAGGAGGAGGAGGAGGAGAAGGGGGAGGAAGGGGGGGAGGGGGAGATGGAGGAAGAGGAGGAGGAGGAGAAGGAGGAGTAGGAGGAGGAGGAGGAGGAGGAGGAGGAGGAGGAGGAGGGAGGAGGGGGGGGAGGGGGGAGGGAGGAGGAGGAGGAGGAGGAGGAGGAGGACGACGACGAGGACAAGGAAGAGGAGGAGGAGGAGGAGGAGGGGGGAGGGGGAGGGGGAGGAGGGAGGAGGAGGGAGGGAGGAGGGAGGAGGAGGAGGGAGGGGGAGGAGGGAGGGAGGGAGGGGGGGGAGGGGGAGGGAGGGAGGGAGGGGAGGGAGGGAGGGAGGGGAGGGGGAGGAGGAGGAGGAGGAGGAGGAGGAGGGGAGGAGGAGGAGGAGGAGGAGGAGGAGGAGGAGGGAACGCCTAAGCCATTCGGAGAAATCCTCCACAACATACACGCCGGTCGAAAGAAGTGTCACTGCACCGACCTTGTAGACGTGCTGCAGCGGATGTTTGTGTGGACTTCCGTCAACGCAAGACCCCGAAACGGCGAGCGAAGAACGAAGTGAGTGTCACGTGGATGTTGTTTAGTCCTCCTGCCTGGCCCAAAAATCCGAACGAAAATCACTTCGAAATCCGGAACGGAATTCTCCAGGACACTCCAGGCCCATCCTACTGTTTTCCGAACGACATCCACTCTGCGATGTTGGCGCCATGAGAAGTGGATCAAAACATGAACTGGGGAGGTGTTGAAGTAGATGGGGTTCCCCCCCGCCCCCTAGAGATGAAGGAAAAAGGGAACAGCGCTCTTTGATCGAAGTAAGGAGGCGCCGAAAGTATGTTGGGATGTGGGAATTCAGAAAAACTGCGCGAACCTCCGAAAATGCGTACTTATATTGTCTTTCCCGTTTCGAATCCTCGTCGTCTTCGTCGTCGTCGTTGTGTTCCTCGTTCGCTTCTGGACAGCGAGAGCCTCGAACTCCCGGAGGAGGGAGGCCTCGAGGAACCAGCCCGACTGGCGACCAGCAGCCGAGGGAACCGCCGCAGATTCCAAACAGAGCCTCCCATCACCTCCTTTCAATAACCGCCACCACCATCGCCTCCACCGCCATCGCCACCGCCGTCATTGTCGCCGTCGGCGTCGCCGACCAGCACCATCACCACCGTCGACTCCGTCACCGTCATCTTCGTCATTTTTCTGCTGGAGTGACGGGGACAAACCTTAAGGGGGGTACTTCGTGGGCACATATCAACGATTGTTGGGGGACACGAACTATTGCGCGGGGCGGACACGACCGCGTTTGAAAAAACGCACGGTTGCCATCAACGCGCAACGATTGCGCCCAGGCCGCAATCGATCACATCCGCGCATTAACTGTTGCGAATATTAGCGCACCTCTGCCACCACACCCCATCTGCTCCTCCCCACCTACTCCGGCTATCGCCGTAAACATCGTCATCGTCACCACCGTCATCTCGGAAGATGAGCGATTGAAACAGTGGCGACTCCCACGCCCGGCCAACATCCGCTCAGAATCAGTCGCTAGACCCCTCTCCGGGCCCATCGTGATCCATTTTTCGAGGCGGATTCAGCCGTGGCGACGAGAATCCTCCAGGACACCGCCGAATTAAAGAAAAGCGCAGGGGAAGGCCGCTTTCGACGCTGTCATCGCAGCTGAGTCGCGAATCGAACAGGCCGAGTCTAGAAGGCACGCTGCTCAAGACGCGCGACAAGGGCCTCGCTGCACCGACCTTGCAGACGTGCTGTAGCAGATTTTCCGCGTGGATTTCAATCAATACAAAACCCCGAAACGGCGAGCGAAAAACGATGTGAAGTTCACGAGGATTATTTGTTGTGTTCGTTCCTGGCCAAAAAGATCCGCACGAAATTCACTTCGAAATCCATAACGACATTCTCCAGAACACCCTGGGCCCATCCCATCGTTTTCCGAACGAAGTCCAGTCTGCGATGCTGGCGCCATGACTAGAGGCCTCCCAGATGGGGTCGGAGTAGATGGGGTCGGAGGATCGCGCCGCATCGCCGATACATCGGCGATGCATCGCCGATGTATCAGCGATGCATCGGTCATGCACTGGCGACGTCGGCGATGCATCGGCGACGTCGGCGTGGACAAAAATGGGCCCCACATCGAGCTGCATCGCTGATGCATCGCCGATGCATCGGCGACGCGGCGCGATCCTCCAACCCCATCTACTCCGACCCCATCTGGGAGGCCTAGAATGACAAGGGAAGGGGAGGAAAGAGGACCCATGAAGGGCCGCCGCTGCCTCAACGGGCCCTCCTCCCACTCGTCATCGTCACCACCGTCGTATAAAAGCGGGGGAGCCCGCTGCCTGGTTCCCCACCTGCTGGCTCTGGTGCAGCTCCGCCTCCGGGGCGGCGGCGGTGGCGGGAGGGAAGGGGAGGAGAGATGGGGGGGGAGAGGCGTCATCCCTGCCATCACCATGCTCTTGCTAATCTCTGCTCTTGTCTATTTCTTCCCTCTTGCGTCGTAGTCGCCTTTCCCGCTTCTGCCCCATCCTCATCCTCGCCTTTCCCTCCCTCTCTCCTGGGGCGGGACAAGGGAGGGGTGGCCCCGGGCAGGACAGGCAGGGCGCCCGTTGCCCGAAAGGGGGGAGAGAGGGGAGGGGGGGAAGGGAGGGAGGAGAGAAGGGGACACAAGCCTCAGCGCCCCCCCACAACCGCATGCGCGGGAGTGAGAGGTCCAGCTCAGAGAAGAGGCGACAACAGGCCAGCACCTGCCGTCGCGCGATCGGGCCCCGCCTAGCCGAAGGGTCGCATCAGACCGCGCACACCCCACAGCTGGCCGAAGAAGCAGAGGCATGCGGCACGGGGCGAGGCGACCGACGACGACGACCGACAGCGGCGAGGGCCCAAAACTGCAAAGTCAGTCCGCAGAGCCCGAGTCTTTCTCCTCCTCCTCCTCCTCCTCCTCCTCCTCCTCCTCCTCCTCCCTCAAGCCTGGTGCGCCAGATGCGCCACGTGCCTCCGCGTGCGTCAGGTGTGCTGAATACTCCAGCCGCGCCAGGTGCGCCACATTTGGGGCACGTGCAGAGTGAGTCAGGTGCGCCTGCGCACGTGACAGCACACATCGGGAAACATGTCGGCCCCCATGAACCATGTCGAAGACCAGTGTCCATCATTGTGTCTGGTGGGCTTGTGCACTGCAGGCCATACGCCACCACGTGATAGTGATCGCGGGGTGGCCGCGCATGGTCCAAATTTAGCCGCGAGGTGTATTGTATATTTTTGATGACTAAAACAGTAGACCTGCGCGCAGCAGGCAATATGCTGACACCCCCGCCGTCCTGCCAAAAAACAATACAAAGTGTCCATGGCCCTCACGAGTATGAAAATGGACGTTGCAATCAAGTGTACTTTGTACTGTTTCTTGACAGGGATGGTGGGGGGTGGCCCTCATGGGGTTATCATGGTTATTGGCTGGCTGCCGATCGCCGGAGGTAGGGGGTGTATACTAACAGGGAACAATGATGAACCCCTCCCCCGAGAAGCAGAGGAAGGAAGGATTTGGCTCAGAAAAAACTTGTCGAACCACCTACGCCCAGAGGGCTGGTGGGATTCGATTGGAAATCATTCGGATCCTTCTGGTTCGGGCAGGTTGCTCTCCTTTTTCCTCCCACCCACCCTACTCAGCCGCTCTACAGTGAGCGGGCGGTGGGCTGCAAGCGGCTGATCCTTACGTTTCGCCACAATGTAAAACATTCCTGTGCCTTTCCGCCCTCCCCTTGTACATGGTAGGTAACCAGCGGAAGGACCCTATACTATAGTCTCTTTGTGCTCACATTGGATTCCCTGGCGTATATACATGTTGCAGATACGTTCCGAATAGGTTGCGTGTACGGTTTTACACGTTTCATAGCTGCCATTTACGTTTGACAAATGCGTTTCTGTAGCGGACCCTGTGCTATTATGTAGTCGTTTCATACGCGCGCCATTGACGTCTCGGATGCGGTTCATTGCATATGTGTCGTAGACGTTGTAAGAATTACGTGCCATATACATGCAAGTATCATGGACACGATGTAGCCGTTTCGAAAAATACAAGACAGTTGCGTGTCATAGACGTGGCGTACACGTTTCGTGTACGTTTGGCATATGTCTCGTATGCGTTTCTGTTAACTGTCGGATACGCGCCCTATGCGATTCGTATACGTTTGAAACAAATTACACCAGAAAGAAACCCCAATCAGTGGATGGCTTGAAAAATGATACTATGGATTTTGAGATCGATTATGAGATCGATCGTGAGATCGATAGTGGAATCGATTGTGAGGACGATTGCAAGGTCGATCAGGAGACCGAGAATGAAGTCGATTCAATGATATCGACGGTGAGATCGATCATGGGATCGCTTGCGCGATCTATAGTGAGATCGCCTGTGAGATCGATAGTGAACTCGATTGTGAGATCGATCGATGGTGAGATCCATAGTGAAGCGGGCAATGAACCCGATGGTGAGACCAGTCGGTAAGAAGATCGACCAAAAACCCGGGAACCCAGGAACCCCGCCGCCCACCGAAATCGGCCCAAAACCAATAACCGGCAACCCTGGAACCCGGAACCGGGAACCCGGGAACCCAGCCTGCTACCAAAATCGGCGGGAAACTTTCGCCAAATCTTTCAAAGTCCGCTGGGACCCCTTCAGTGCAAGCACTGGTTGGGGAATTTCGCATGCGTTTCTTATACGTTCATATACGCTGCCGTCGTGGAGTGCCTTGAGCCTATATCAGGCCCACCTGGAGTCCTCAGAACTCGCATATTGCAATGCTGTTGAACGGTCTAGATCCCAACTGCGCACTATGAAATCCGAGCGAATTCCTTTAAGGGAGGCCAGTCGATTTTCACTGCCGAGACGACCATGCAAAAACATGTGTTGGTAGCCTTGTCTAGCGGTTGTGATCTGGACCGGTCTGGTTTTTCTTAGTGGTTGGGATCTGGACCGTCCGGTTGGGATCTGACCCCGTCGGGACCCCTCCCCCCCTTTGTCGTTGCCCCTGAACCACACGACGGCAGACCAAGGGGCAGGGGGGCACTGGAGCCGCGGCTCCCTCCCCCGTGCCGACGAGACATATGGATTCCCTACTAGACCCCGAGCACGATGCGAGGGGAAAGGGGGGCCTATTTTAGCGTGGCGCAAAGCCGGGGTTCAGTCGTTTATTCGCCACACTGACGATAACGGACAGACGGTAATGCAGGTTGCCAGTAGGTGTCGATCCAGCCAAGAGTCGTCGGAGATCTGCACGCGGAGAACCTCAGCCACTCCAGACCAGACGGATGATCGGCGGCAAGCGAAGAGGGGAAATCGGGAGGAGGAGGCCTGCTCAAAGGCGGTCGGATCTCAGAAGCCCTCTGGCCTTCTGAACAGTTTTCTGCGTCCTCGGGGAAGGCTCCGAGCCTCCTGAGAAGGCCCGCCACATCTCACTTCCCCCCCGGACTGGCCGCCGAGATGGCGCCGCGCCTGCAGCGTCGAGTTCTTCTCGTTCAAGACGTTGGACTGGGCGGGCCGCGGCGGCGGCACGCCGAGACGAGGCGCACTGCTTTCTACGTTGTGTGTTGTGTTGTGTTGTGTGTTGTGTGTTGTGTGTTGTGTGCTGTGTGTTATGCGTTGTGTTGTGTGTTGTGTGTTGTGTGTTGTGTGTTGTGTGTCGGTGTTGTGTGTTGTGTGTTGTGTGTTGTGTGTTGTGTGTTGTGTGTCGGTGTTGTGTGTTTTGTGTTGTGTGTTGCGTGTTGTGTGTCTCAGTGGCGACGTGGTGGCATGCAGCGCAGCCAGGTTGCGGGAGAGCTCGGTGAGCACCTGCGCAGACGGAGGGAATGCTGGAGGCTTGGAAGTGGGCATCAACGCCAACACAACAGGGCTGCCTCCACCAGAGGAAGGCGACCCTGGACATTGGTGTTGGTGGTAAGCTTTCGGCCACCTGCAGTCAGGTGAATATGGTTGCTAGTGGAATTGCTGCTTGCATGCTGATACGCACGCGCACACACACACACACAACAACAACAACAACAACAACAACAAAAAAAAAAAAAAAAAAAAAAAACGCACACGCGCGCTTGTGGCGTCGCGGTCACGCGCGCAGCGGCCCGCCGAAGTAAAAGTCGGGCGGAGCGAGACGCGCGCGGGCCAGCCCGGATCACGCAGTGTGGACAAATTTCGGGGCACGCGGTGAAAACGTCCAGACGTCAGATGTGGATGCGAAGGTGTACCGTCGAGGTACTGAGCGCAAAGAGCGCCTGGGTGCGCGAGGAAGGCTAGAGGAACAACCACGGCATGATCTAAGGAACAGCGAGCCCCTTTCGAACCCGAAGCGGTTCTCGTTTCAGCGTCTTGGCTATAGTGCGCGCGATTGCTGTGCGGCGTTTCTGTTATATAAACACGTGTCTTCAGGCTTGAAGAGTGCGTGCGATTGCTGTGAAGCGACTGACGCAGAAAAGAGGCGCATTGCGCCTGGCCCTCGCGCCCCCCCCCACTGTACAGAGCTGAGCTCTCGCGGCCCGCGGGCCGAGTCGCTGCCGACCAGCATTACATTCCCAAAGGCGCCTAACTTTGCGCTTCGCGCTGCGCGAAGCGCGAATAATTTCGCGCCCTCGCGCCAAACCCCAGGGGAGACGAGGAGGATGAAGAGGAATCGGAGCCGAACTGCGAAGCGCGAACAACTTCGCGCCCTCGAGGGCGCCCTTACAGGGGGGGGGGGCACGTGTGACTACAATGGCGTGGAGCGTGCGGTTGGTGGCCGTTGGTGCAGAGGACAAACTCACGTTCGGGGTGCATGCGGTTGCTGTGAAGCGAGTGATGCAGCGTGCTAGTAGGATTCCAAATCGAATGAGGTGGACGCCACGGTCGTTGTTCTACGCACGCGCCGAAGCAAAGACTGAACGTGTGGAGACATGCTGGATAACTCCGTTGCTCACTCGCGTCGACCAATCCAGACCGATGTAGATAATACTATTATCTTGCATCTCCCACCAACGCTGGACACGGGAATGCGAAGGCTGACATCGAAACGTCGGAAAAATGGTTGTGCAGACGCCGGTAAAGGCGGGGGTCGAACCGGGGGGAGGGGGGGAAGCCTTCCACCCTGAACTGCAAGGGCGGGGTCGAACGCCCCCTTTCCTCGCCTCCCAAGAGGGGGGGGGTCGAACCGCCCCCCCTTCCCCCCCTCGTGAGATTCCACTAGAGCTGGATCGAGCCCGAGTCGGATTCAGTCAGAGATGAAACCAGTACCAATACGTAGGATCCAGTTAGGCATCGATCCAGTACCGATCCAGTCAGGCATCGATCCAGTTAGGCATCGATTTTATTCCGATCGAGCCCACTGGGATATTGTAGCAACTGGATCCAGCCATACGAGGATTCCATTAGAGTCGGATGGATCCTCGGTAAGATTCAACTAGAGTCGGATTTAGTGTTCCTAGGACTCGATCACACTTGGACCGAATCCGGGCAGGATGATATCAAAGTTGGATCGATCGATGATCCTCAGAACGTGTGTTAGCCCAAACGTGTGTTTGTCCATCGAGACCCTTCGACACGACCCAGGCGATGTCCTGATCTACTGATTGGGCTGGGCTGAAGGGGGTAAACACACACAACGGACCTAAGACATAATAACACTCTTCAAGAACATGATACACTGAACATCCAAGGGTACCCGCCCCAGGATGCACAAAAAACATGCATCAAACACGAAAAACACTAGGATACCCTCCCCGAACCGACCTCGACCTTATACCTCGGTCCGACTGTATTCACCTAGCTGTAGAGGGCCTGAATATTGTCATCGTGGCCGAGATCGGGATCATCCTCCATTGGTGGAGGCACACCGCTGAAAAAAATGGTGTCAACCTTAGGCCTCCAAAGATTAACCAGCCTCGAACTTATCCCTATCCCCAAGATTAACAAGCCAAAAGGCGATGACAATCTCAAGGATGCGACCTCGAAAACTGAGGATCGAGATGAGGCGATGCCAATCGTAGGGATAGGGATATGTTCCAGGCTGGTGGAAACATCTAGAGCGGCCGCCAGCGAGAAGGCGACAGAAACAGCACAGACTGGGGGAGGAGGGCGGGGGGCCGGAGGCAAGAGCGGCAGAAGCAGGGACCCCGCACTTTCCGTGCTCTGTTGTGTCGAAGCGATACGCTTCCTTTGCCCTGGCCGCGGAGTGGGGCGAAGGGTCGGGGGCGCGCAAACATGGATTAGCGATCCATGGATTTGGCGCGCGGTCGCCAAATCCATGGATCGGGGAGGTGCCCTCCCAAGATTGCGGCCGGTGCCGCCTCGCTCGCCAGCGGAAATCCGCGATTTCCCATGGAAACTGGGCCGCACAGGACATACTAGCACTAGATGTTCTCCTCGGAGGCGCGCGCCCGACCCGAACATCCAGTATACCGATCTTGTAGTACATCGTTTCCCGAGCGGTGTGGCCAAAAAAGCGCCCGCCACGACGCATATACTACAAGATTTCTCGGTGCGCGCGTCACCCCTGGGGGGGCGACGCACAAATAGTATTAGTGTGTTGGGCTGACGCCGACAGAAGCATGCGCCTGTGAAGCTCCGTAGGCTCAGGTCGGCCACGTCCTCCTACAGGCGGACTCTGGACGAAGAATCAAAAATTCTCGAAATATATTCAAAAATTGCCGAAAATTGTCGAAACATCGTCCCCCGACTATTTCTTCACTAACTTTGAACATCTCAGAAATGGTCGAAAATTGTCGAGACATCGTCTCCAGACTATTTCTTCACACTGTTTTTGAACACTCCTCCTGTCGAGGGGCATGCCCGACTTCAGCGCAGGTCTCGAGAGGCGAGGCGTACTGGGCAACCCTCGCGGCGCCCGCCGCAGAGGGGGAAAGCGATCGTGGGGGTGCTCGGGGGCGGCCAAAACGGGGCGTCCATGAGGCGGGGTCGCAAATCATGGCGGGCGGCACGTACGCGGCCCAATGGGGCGCCAGGGACAAAAGAGGCGCCACGAAATCTGGGGAAACATCATGGCCCACGCCATGGTATCCGCCCCCCCCAGTTATCGCCCCCTTTTACGCCGCCCTCGACTGGCTCGGGAGGGGGAACATCGAGCAGGAATCGGCGATCCACCGCCGAGGGGTCTGCGACGGGCTCCCAACCGCGAAACGCTCCTGGCCCCTGTCGGCGATGCGCGGGAGTCCGGGCACAGATGCTTCCCTCTGGTCCTATCTCCAGGGAGCCCACAAGACACGTGCGCGCAAGGCCGCGCGCTGATGTGCGTGAGCCTGCCCCCCCCCCAGCTCGCGACGCCGTCCTCATGTCGCGCACGCTGTCGTCATGCGCTCCCTCGAGATCCACGTGATCTCGCGTACGCGTAATTAGGTCTCTGTCTGCTCCGCTGCCGGCTGCCCCCCAACCGTTGCCCGTGACCTGGCCCCCGGCGGCATGCTCCCCGCCCCGCCCCGCCCCGCCCCTCTCGTTGGCGCTGGCTCCCCCAGCCGCGGCGCCGCAGCTCTGGCGGGCGCGGGGGAAGGGCAGATGCGCCCACCCCTGGGGGGCCACATGCGAGCCCTACCCCACCCTCCCCCTCAGAAATCGTGGGGGGCAGGGGTAGGGTTCACATGTTGCCCCCTACACCCCGCTCCTCCAGGAGAACCACACAACCACAAGATGCCCGAGGCGCGCTGCACTTCTCGGATCCGCGCTGGGCCCCCCTCCCCGGCGCGCGAAGCGCCCCAGGGGCGGCGCCGAAGCCGCCGCCGGAAGGGCCCCAGCGCCGACCCAGGAGGTCCGCACGGACACGATGGAGCTGCTGTTCACGTACCAGTTTCTCCCTCGGACACCCGAAGTGGGCACAGAAAATTGCGCGCAGTGCCCAACCACAAGTGTTGTCCAAAGCCCACAGTGGCGCGGCAAATCATGGGAGCCGTTGCTTTGCGCCCTGGCGAATCCCATCTCCAATATACTGCCGTGTCAAAGTGTTGTTTAGTCCGGTTTGGTGCGGCGTGTGCGTTTCCTTCTCCCTTCCCCATCCATCTGCCCCCAGCTCGTCCTCGTTCTCCCCCTCGTGTTCCTCTCCCCTCCGGGCCCATGCTGCATGTGCGGGATTCCTAGCGAAGTTCCCTCCCGCGTGAGAGGTCGTTGCATGGGCTGCACGGGGGCAGAGAATCCGCGGCCCCATCTTGCGCGCTTTCGAACTCCCCCATGGGGGCGGCCGGATCTCCCCGGAACGATTCCTCCTGTCATTCGCTGCCTGGTCCTCGGGCCCACCCTGTCGCAACGTCTGGGCTTGGCGCCCAGGGGGGGTAATCTCTGCTCGCAGCAGAAAAGCTTCAGAGACGAAGCTGGGCTGCAGCGAGCGCTCGCCCGTCAGGGGGCGCCGCAGGAATTTCCTTGACCTCGCAGTGCGTCTAGTAGGCGTTCCCAGTGCGCGTGCGCGAAGCGTTGGGTAGCGCCCAGGCAGCGCTTCCCTGCTTGCGCGCGCAGCGCCCCAGAACGCGACAGGCAGGCAACCTTGCTCAAGCGCCTAGTCGTCTCTTCCAAGCTCGCGTGCCCAGCGCTTGCGTCACCTCGGAAGGCAAATGCAAGCCCGCTTGACAACGTATTGGGCGCGCCATCAACGCGCCATTCCAAACTCTTGCGAGCGACGCGCCGCGCGCGGACTCCACGCGCGCCGAGCGCGGTCCGGCGGACGCATGTTCCAGTGTGGCTTCTTGAAGCTCACAGGGTTTAGATCAGAAGTTGGACCGTTGACCTAGCCTCAGAAGCGACGTTCTGGTTCAGTCAAGGTGCCTTGCATCGGCTTGTAAGTGCTTGCAGCGGGTGTCCTGGGCAGTTAGTGATCGCTTGCTACCCTGCCGATCATGCGTGAGTGGGTTTGCGCATGCCCGGGGTCTGAGCCCACGCATCGCGCGCTACGTTGCGCCCGCTAGGTGGCCCATGCGCGCCGCCGCCGCCCGCCGCCCGCCGATCGTCGCGGCCCGAACCTGGCTGGCCAAATAGTTTGAACGTCTTGTCCAATGCGCGCGTTCCTGCGCGAGGGCGCTGCCAAGCACGCGCGCAAGACAGGGTGGGCGGCCCCGCCTCCCGACGCGCCCGCGCAAGCGCTTTCCCGCGCCCGTGTCAACGCGCGCACCTGCCCAAACGCGCGCGCCCAGACCCCGCGCAAACGCCCGCGCCCAAGCCCGCGCCCACGCGCGCGCTCACGCCCACGCGATCACGCAGGCACGCACGTACAAGCGCACGCGCACGTGCTCACACGGAAATGCGCGCGCCCCCACTCGCGCCATCCACGGACGCGCGCACGTTTCACGCGCCCGCAAGCGCGGCGCACCTCGCCTAACCAGATGACTCCGCTAGGACCCCTACAGGGGAACACACGATATGAGGGAGATGGAGAATGAGAAGGTGGAAGGAGGAGGAGGAGGAGGAGGCGGAGCAGGAGGAGAAGGGAAGGGGAGGGAGGGAAGGGGAGGGGAGGGGGGGGGGGGAGGGGAGGGGGGGGGGGGCGAGGGGAGGGGAGGGGGAACGAGGGACCGCAGGCCCCCGCCCCACCCTCGCGCGCGCTGTCGCGGCGGCCGCGGCGGCGGGCGAGGCACGCGGGGTTGGCGAGAACGGCGCGCGCGCTCCCGCTGTCAGGTGCAAGACTCGGGTTCGGGGGAGGAGGAGGAGGAAAGGAGGAGGAGGGGGAGGAGGAGGAGGAGGAGCATGAGGAGGAGCAGGAGGAGCACGAGCAGGAGCAGGACCAGGAACAGGAGCTGGAGCACGGTTTGGCCTGACGGGGCCATCAATGAAAACGACGAGACCCAAATCTGAAATTTGACGCGAGCTCCCGCTGCAGACATCCCACGAAAACCCGACCGTCAAAATCCAGGACGCGCTCGTCAAGAAGCGTCAGCAAACCCAAGTCCTGGCTCACTCGCGTCTTACGTTTCCCCGACTCCAGGCCGCTTCGGTGGCGCGCTGAAGCATGGGCGACCAGCTGGGCGGCCGTTTGTCCAGCGTGGGGGGGGGGAGGGGGGGCGCCTCGAAGGCCGCGCAGCTGATGGGCCTGCTCGGGGAGGAGCCCGACGAGCTTGCCGAGACGCTGGGCAGCGGCAGTTGGGCGAAGCACCTGGCACACCCTGGTCTGCCGCCCATGCCTGCCCCTCCTCGCGCCGCACAGGGCTCCGCACCTGGCTGCGCGAGGCTGCGCACGAGGATAAGGCGTCTCGTTGTCTTGGGCAGCTTCGGATCCAAAGGGCGCCACTGACACGCGCGATGCTCATCGGGGTGAACCCGGTGCTTATGAATGTGGCCATGGCGGACGGCTTCTCGGTGCCTGAATTCGTGATGAAGCTCGTTGTCATGATCCAGCTACCGCTGGTGGTGTTCCTGGCAAGCCCCTGAATTTCCTGGAGGTCCAGCTCTCCTTGTACCGTCTCGAGACCACGGGGCACTGCAGGAACCTGTTCATGAACTGTATCAGGGAGTCGATCGTGTGGATCATGTTCTTGACGTGCCTGATCCCCATGGTCGCGCAGTTCTTCCTGTGCATCTCTTTTTGCCTGGAGGGGCTCTTCGCAAACTTCCTGATGGTATTCGTGGAGAGCCTGCCGAAAACCTTCTTCCAGGTGTTTGCCCCGTCCTGGACGCCCTGTCGTTCATGGTGCGTCTCGGTGGAATGCGCACCTGGTGGTTGTCCGTGCCTGACCCCGCCCGATTCTCGATCAAGGGGCCTGGCAGGCACCTGGTCGTGAACTCGTTCGGGGAACCGTTCGCGTGGAGCCTGTTCGCGATGAGCCTGGGCCCCATAATGAGGCAACTCCTGTTGTGCCTCTTCATCTCTTTCTTCCTGGAGCTGTTCGTGTCAGACCTCCTGATGGTGTTCCTGCCGAGCCCCCCTTTCATGTTCGCGCAGAGCTTGCATCGGCCACTTGAACGGCATCGGAGCTATCGGGGCAAGAGGTGGCATGGCAGTTGCACTGCCTTGGCCTCAAGCTCGCAGCTGTTATGTTTAATGTCCCAGTGTGGTGTTCGAGCCCTTCTCTTCTTCGGCTGGCCCCTCCGCCGATCGTGTCTGCTTGGCCTTCGCTGCGATTCGGTTTCGGTCCCTCGTCGGACTGTGCCTTGAAATTAGCGATTGGCTCTTTCCCGCGTCCAAAACAAACACCCGCCCCACCCGCGCGCACCCATGCACTTTCACTCGCACTCACACCCACATCCGTCCGCACTCACACTCACCAACGCACACGCGCCCCCGCCCACCCCCACGCCCCCCTTTCAACCCCGCCACCGCCACCGCGCACGCACTCGCACGCGCGCACAAGCACACGCACGCGCACGCGCACGCGCACACGCACCCACACATTCACACATGTATATATATATATATATATACACACACGCACACACACACACACACAACCACCACCACCCATCATTACCGTCACCGCCGCACACACTCACAGTGACACACATGCACACAGGCACACACGTAAGCGCACACAACACACAACACACAACACACACCCACACACAAACACACACACACACACACACACGCGCACACACACGCACACACACACACACACACACGCGCGCGCGCGCGCTCACACACGCACACGCACACGCACACGCACACGCACACGCACACGCACACGCACACGCACACGCACACGCACACGCACACGCACACGCACACATGCGCGCACGCGCCCGCGCGCGCGCCCGCGCGCCTACTTCAACGGCCGCGGCCCTCTGTCTCACATGGACACCGTCCGCGGCGTCGCGGACAGCGAGCCCTGCTCAGAATGAACAGGAACTGCTGTCGGTCTTTGTACCCGTTCTTTCCCGATCGTCCTGATCCCCTTCGGTCCTCGCTCCCCTGGTGAGCGTCGGCCCTGCGCCCTCCTTGCGCCGTCGTGGCCGTGGCCCCCCCGTCTCCCCGTGCGACGAGACGCGCTGCGCGTGCTTCGCCACGGCACCCGAGGGCTGTGCCGAGCATGCCGTCCCCGCCGGTCCCATCCCTGGTGTCCCTCCTTCCCCCCTCCCTCCTCCCCCCTCCCTCCCTCCCCCCCGCATCATCAGTCCTCCCTCTTCACCCTCTTCGGTCCTCCTGCTCCTCCCATTCCACCTCTTCTCCCCGTCCGCCTTTGTCTCTCCCTCTTCTCCCCTCCTCCTCCTCCTGCTGCGGATGCCCCTGCTCCCCCTCCTGCCTCCTCACCCTCCTGATCGTGGCACGCATCCTCCCCCACCCCCCTCCTAACCTATCCTAATTCCTCCCCGCACCTACCTCCTAGGTCATCCTCCCCTCCCCACACGAAACCGTAGATGAGGAACGAAGCCTCTTTGGGGCCTCCGTTGCGCTTAATTGAACGACGACTGCCAGAGGAAGATACATAGAAGAGCATAAATAAGATTGATCCCCTTGCGAAACCAAAATAGACCACATGGCAAACAACTGACTGCACCCCCCCCTGGAGGAAGAAGACTCAGAGGAGGAAAAGGTACCCATACCGCTACCCCCCGCCCGTCTTCCCCATGTTTGGCCTCCTGGGAGGCCCTCGTCGCCACCGCTGGATTCGCCTCGAAATCCTAGTCAGAACACATGCCGGGAGAGGCCCGGGGAGTAGCGGTGTCGGTAACTTGTGGTTTCCCCAGGGACGGGGGAAGAAGGAGGCAGCAGGCTGATGATCCGCACGTGTGCTGGTGCCGACGCTTGCTTGTGCACGGCTCCTGGAGCTGCAGCTCCTCGGTGAGCTTCTTCAGGCCCTGCAGCTCCTGCAGCTGCGCCTCTACCTGCGGGGCGGGCCACTCTGCCGCTCCTCGTCTGGCCTCTCCCAACCCTTCCCTGCTCCTCCTCCTCCTCCGCCTCCTACTCCTCCTCCTCCTCCTCCGCCTCCCTCCTTCCCTCCCTCCCTCCCTCCCTCCCTCTCTCCGATCGCTCCCTGCCTCCCTTTCCTCCCTTCTGCCCCCCTCCGCCTCCTGGTACTTCATCATCCTATCCTCCTCGTGATCCTGGCCATCAGTCCCTCTTGTGAATAAGGCTTCTCATCGTCCCACCACCTGACTCATCGGTAAATCGGGCCATGCGTTTCGCCCGAGATTCCGCGCTGGTTAATGACCATGGAGCTCGACAGATCCAACGGTTACACGGATGGACGGCGAAGTGGTTCGAACATGTGCCTCTCGCCTGATCGCCGCAGACGAACATTTTCGAGCACGTGTGCACATGGCGTTCAGAAAATGTGGATCTCGCCCGAGCGTCGCGCACACTGGCCGTAAAATCTCGTGCAAACTACACGGGTCGAGGGTGAATCGTGTGGCGCTCCCCCTGGGGTTGCGCATGGCACTTCCTCATGGCCACCGTGCCGCGAGTCTCTGAGTTGGATTGTGGGCCCAGAGGCAGCCCCGAATGCCTTGAGATGGGGCGCGTGACTCTTGAGATTACCACGTGACCTCTCCAGACGACAAGGGGCGCGAAACGGTGCCAAAAGGGTCCAAAGAGGCTCCGAAAACGGTCCACGAGGGCCCCAGGACGGCCCAACAACGCTCAAAGATAGACTGAAGACGGCCCCGGAGGCTCCCAAGACGCAACAGGAAGAGTCCACGAGGGCCCTCAAGAAGGCGCTACCTAGCAAACACCATGCCCCCTAGGTGTGCAACTGTGGTGGCGGTCTCTTTGTTGGTGGCTCCCGAACGCCCCAAACGTCCCAAGAGGGCCCCTCGAAAGGCCCCAAGAGGGGGAACCCGAGCTGACACGTCGAGCCCTTCCCCCAAAGAGGACCCCCGAGACCGCCAGCATGTCCTCGAGAAGCCCCAAGACGCCCCCGAGACACCCAAAAGAGGCCCTAAGGGACCCAAGAGAGGCCCCGGGAGGCCCCGAACAAGCCTCTAATAGGCCTCCCAAGAGGCACCCCAAGAGACCCATCATGAGCAGACACGGGCCATCTGACCAACTTCCCAAGCATCACTACTACTGAGTCCCCTCCTGCTGCTGCTACGACTAGGGAGACCGCTAGGATGGATCGGACCCCTCTGACTGGAAGATCTCCTCGGCAAATCAATCTTCAACGCTCGGAGTCATGCCTCCACTGCGCTCCTCGCTCCCGACCCAGGCACGGTTGCGAGGTGGGCCAAAAGGGCCGCCCGGTGGAGGGAGGAGGAGGAGGAGGAGGAGGAGGAGGAGGAGGAGGCGGAAGAGGAGGAGGAGGAGGAGCGGGAGGAAGAGGCCGAGAAGGAGAAGGAGGCGGAGGAGGAGGAGGAGGAGGAGGAGGAGAAGATCATCACCATAAGCGCAAGGACATGCACCGATTAGGAGGGTGGCTCCTTCACAAAACGGTGCCATCGCTGGGCACTTCACGAACTGGGGCGGATCATGCATGTTCGGTACGGGCTTCACCTCCGAGGCAGGCCCAGGGCGCGCTCGTCGTCTAACCACGGGGCCCTTCCCGCAGTGAGAAGGAAAACTTGTATGCACTCCTGGGGAATGGCTTTGGGATGGAAGGGTGGGTGTTGTGTTTCATCGCTGATACATCCGTTGGCTCTGAACCTCATCCTCCTCCTCCTCCTCATCGTCATCAGCATCATCATCATCATCATCATCATCATCAGCATCATCATCATCATCATCATCATCATCATCATCATCATCATCATCATCATCAGCATCATCATCATCATCATCATCATCAGCATCATCATCATCATCATCATCATCATCATCATCATCATCATCATCATCATCATCATCATCAGCATCATCATCATCATCATCATCATCATCATCATCATCATCATCATCATCATCATAATCATTATCATCATCATCATCGTCATCATCATCATCATCATCAGCAGCAGCAGCATCATCATCATCATCATCATCATCATCATCATCAACATCATCATCATCAGCATCATCAGCATCATCAGCATCATCATCATCATCGTCATCGTCATCATCATCATCATCACCACCATCATCACCACCATCATCATCATCATCATCAGCATCATCATCATCTCATCATCATCATCATCATCATCATCATCATCATCATCATCATCATCATCATCATCATCATCATCATCATCATCATCATCATCAGCATCATCATCCCAGTGAGGGGGAGCGAGGAGAGGAGGATACGGCTGTTAGGGGAGGCAATGGCGGAGTGCGTGTACTGCGCTCGGAGGACGGGGAGGGTGATCTGTGAGCCTCTAGGGGGTTGGAATACCCATGCACACACACACACAAACAGCATGCACCGCAACTGTCGAAGGTCTGCGCAGATGTCCTGGGTCGACGCAAGGACCCCCTCCCTGGCGCGCACAGCGCGCCATGAGCGGCGCCAGGGGCACAGACAGGTCTACAAGGAAGCCCAGCGCCGACCCAAGAAAACCGTGCGGGGCATCGAAGGCTTCTGCTCATGTTTTCCCTCGAGAGGAGGAGAAGGGAGAAGAAAGAGGAGGGATATGGATAGCAGAAGGGGAGGGCGGAGGGAGTAGGGCGGTGGGCAGAGCGAGGGCTCGACACTCCTCCCCAGTCATGTACAGCCCGCCTCCTTCTCTCATCCTTCATCTTCCTCCACTTGCTCCTCCCCTAACTCCCGAATCCTCGTCTCTCCTTCTCATGATCCTCATCCTGCACCTCATCCTGCTCCCTCCCCGCTGTCGTCTCACCTAGTCTGAACCCCATCCAGCCTTCCTTATCAGTTGTTGTTGTACTTCCCTCATCCCTCGGCCATCCCCTCTCACGCGGTCATCCTACTTCTGCTCCATCCTCCTCAGCATCGTACTCCCGATTCCTCCCTCCACCAACCTCCTCACCCTCCGCCTTCTTGCTCACCCTATCTCTCACCACCCGCGTTCACATCCGTCGTTCTCCCCCTCCTCCAAAAACTAGTCACGCTCCTCCTCCTCGTCATCGTTCTCCTCCTGCCGCTCTCCCTCAACGCTCCCCTAGTTCCCATCCTCCACTCCCTCTGTCCTTGTTCTCATCCCTTTCCCTCTTCCCTCCCCGCCGCTCCTCCATGTTCCTCGTCCTCCTCCCTTAACAGCATCAACATCATAACCACCAACCCGCATCATCAGCAGACCACCACCACCATCAGTATCACAAGCATCTCTGACCTCATCTGTCCGCGCCCCCGACCGCCACCTTCCTGAGGCGTCATCCTCTCTCCTATTCCTCCTCCGCCGTCCTCTCATCCTCCTCCTCCCGCTCCTCCTCCGCCTCCTCCTACTCCTCCTCCTCATCCCTCTCTATCGTCCTCCTCCTCCTCCTCACCACCACCACCACCACCATCATCATCATCATCATCATCATCATCATAATCATCATCATCATCATCATCATCATCATCATCATCATCATCATCATCAGCATCGCCATCATCATCATCATCATCATCATCATCATCATCATCAGCATCATCATCAGCATCATCATCATCAACATCATCATCATCATCACCACCACCACCACCAGCATCCTCATCATCATCATCATCATTATCATCATCAACATCATCATCAGCAGCATCATCATCATCGTGATCAGCATCATCATCAGCGTCATCAGCGTCATCATCGGCATCAGCATCACCTCATCCTCATCATCATCATCATCATCATCATCATCAGCAGCATCACGATCGTCATCATCATCAGCATAATCATCATCCTCAGCAGCATCACCATCAGCATCATTCTCATCATCATCATCAGCATCATCATCATTGTCAGCATCATCATCATCATCAGCAGCAACATCACCATCATCAGCATCATCATCAGCATCATCATCAACAGCATCATCATTCAGATCCGCCATCGCCATTGTCCTTCCCCTCTCTGCTAGCTCCCCTCCATCACCATCATCGTCAACAACAACATCATAAGCAGCATTATCCGTATCATCGTCATCATCCTTATCATCGTCATCATCAGCATCATCATCCTCATCATCAGCATCATCAGCGTCAGCATCATCAACAGCATCAGCATCAGCAATATCATTACCATCATCAGCATGATCAGCATCATCATCATCCTCATCATCATCAGCGGCATCAGCAGCATCTTCATCATCATCATCAGCATCACCACCATCACCACCATCAACATCATCATCACCATCATCGTAGGCATCAGGCATGTCCGTCATCTTCGGTGTCCCTCCTCTTTCTGCTAGCTCCCCTCCATCATCAGCATCATCAACAATAACGCCATCATCATCATCATCATCATCATCAGCATCGACATCATCGTCATCCGCATCATCATCATCATCATCATCAGCAACAGCAGCATCATCATCCGCATCAGCATCATCATCATCATCATCGTCATCATCATCATCATCATCATAGTCAGTATCATCACCATCACCATCATCATCGTCAGCATCATCATCATCCTCACCATCAGCAGCATCGTCATCATCAGCGTCATCATTCAAATCCGTCAACTCCATGTGTCCCTCCTCTCTCTGCTAGCTCCCTCCATCATCATCAGCAGCAGCAACAACAGAAGCATCTTGATCATCCTCAGCATCATCATGATCCTCATCAGAATCATCATCCTCACCAGCATGCTCATCCTCATCATCATCATCTGCATCATCAGCATCCGCATCATCATCATCATCATCATCATCATCATCATCCTCATCCTCATCCTCATCATCATCAGCATCATCATCATCTGCAACAACATCATCGTCATCATCATCATTCATATCCGTCATCTCCATTGCCCCTCCTCTCTGTGCTAGCTCCCCCTCCATCATCATCATCATCATCAGCATCATCATCATCAACAACAACAACAGCAACAACGACAACAACAACAGCATCAACATCATCATCGGCCTCATCCTCATCCTCATCAGCATCCCCATCCTCATCCTCATCATCATCAACAGCATCAACATCATCATCATCATCCTCATCATCATGCATATCCGTCATCCCCGTCGTCCCTCCTCTCTCTGCTAGCTCCCCTCCATCAGCATCATCATCATCAGCATCATCATCATCATCCTCATCATCATCATCATCATCATCATCATCAGCATCACCATCATGCTCATCATCCTCATCCGCATCACCCTTAACATCATCATCATTCATGACCGTCATCTCCATTGTCCCTCCTCTCTCTCTCTGCTAGCTCCACTACATCATCACCATCATGAACAACATCATCATAATCATCATCAGTATCATCCTCATCCCCATCCCCATCCTCATCATCATCATCATCATCATCATCATCATCATTAGCAGCATCAGCATCACCTTTCTCTTCATCATCATCACATACTCATCATCATCATCATCATCATCATCATCATCATCATAATCACCATCAGCATCTTCCTCTTATTCTTCTTCATCATCATCATCATCAGCATCATCATCATCAGCATCAGCACTATCAGCATCATCATCACCACCATCAGCATCATCATCATCTTCATTATCATCATCATCATCATCATCATCATCATCGTCGTCATCATCATCATCATCATCGTCATCCTCATCATCATCATCATCATCATCTTCATCATCTTCGTCATCCTCATCATCAACATCATCATTCATATCCGTCATCTCGATTGTCCCTCCTCTCTCTGTTAGCTTCCCTCCATCATCATCACTATCATCAACAACATCATCCTCATCATCATCCATCATAACCAGCATCATCCTCATCAGCATAAGCATTATTATCATCATCATCATTCATATCCGTCATCGCCATTGTCCCTCCTCTCTGCTAGCTCCTCTCCATCATCAGCATCATCAACAATATAATCATCATCATCCTCATCATCATCCTCATCTCATAATCCTCATCATCGTCATCATCATCCTCATCATCAGCAACATCGTCATCATCATCAGCATCGTCATCATCGTCATCATCATCATTCATATCCATCATCTCTGCTAGCTTCCCTCCATCATCATCAACAGCAACATCATCAACATCAGCATCATCATCATCAGCATCATCATCAGAAACAGCATCATCACTATCATCGTCAGCAGCATCATCATCCTCATCATCTTTCATATCAGTCATCTCCATTGTCCCTCCTCTCTCTGCTAGCTCCCCTCCATCACCTCATCCCTCCTGTTCTATCCCCCATCCAGCGTCCTCGCCCCTGCCTCTGCTTTCCCTCGCCTAGCTCCAACCTCCGCCTTCCTCCCCCATCTCTTCCCGCCGTCACCCCTCCAATTTCCCCCTCTCACCTTCGCCCTCCCTCCTCCCTCGCATCCTCCACTCCTCCGAAGCATCGCCCGGCAAGGGCGTCTCCCTGGCCTTGCCGTTGAAAGCGTTCTCCACGATTCGCATGCCGCGCTTCACCTGCGCCAACGGGACGACCCAGCGGGATAACGACGCGTGCACGCAAGAATGCCAACCTTGAAATCGAAGCATCGCAAAGAATACTAAATATCGGACCTGCAGCTGTCGCCGGCTAGGGCGTCGCAGGTATGCGCCGCAGCGCCAAACACTGGGCTTGCCCTTATACCCAAACTTCGGACACTGGGACACTCAAAACCGATCCGGTGTCGGTCTCGCGTAAAGATGGAGTCGGGAGCTCATGTCGGGATTTTGGGGCGACGTTGTGTTTTGGCGACGCAGGATATCGCGGGGATGTTCCACTACAGAAATTCCGAGCGCGCTTGGGTTGATCCCTCTCGGAGTATTGCCAACGAATTTTACTTTTAGTGTGCTCGCAATCGTGCGTGCAAGCACGTCGCGGGTGCACACGTGCACAGAACAGGGCGCGCGAGTTCCTGCAGCTGGGCCACGCACACGCCGTATCTGAATGCACGCACTGGCACTGCGAGTCGAACGCATGGGGGGCCCGCACTCCTGCATAGTGGGACAACGGGTCCATATATATATATATATATATATATATATATTCAGGAGAGCCCAAAATCGAATCGACAAATCGGATCAGCGATCGAAATGAACGGATCGGCGGAAATCGGCAACCGAATCGGGAAAAATCGAATCGGCGGAAATCGGCAGGCCAGTATGCCTCCAGTGATAAAACGAAACCCAAATCGGAATCCCAAGTCGAATCGAATCGGAATCGGAAGCCATCGAAGTCAAATAGAATCGAATCGGAGGAATCGAAACGAGCCCTGTACATTGCACGGTGCCTCGCTCGCCCTGCGTGGAATGGCAAAGCCCTTCAATGTCCTGCCGGCCACCACTCGAATAAGACTCGCGGCGTAGCTCGGAGGCTGGAGGATCGCGCCGAATGCTGTGCTCGTCGAGGGGCGCGAGCGCACCTAGCTTGCGCCCCCCCCCTCAACCAACGACAAAGCCAAGACGAAGACAAAATCGGGTGAGGATAAATCGAGCATCTCTGAGATCTCGCAGCTCCTGGGGGATGTCTCGGGCGCCGCGGCCTCCAGAAGGCTCTGAGAGCGTTCCGGAACGCTCCGGAACGGAGATGTCCTCGTCCTAGCCCCGTCCGATACCTTCCTCCTGGCCCACCTCCCTCCGATTCCCTCTGTCTCGCTCTCTGCTTCCCTCTCTGCCTCCCTCTCTGTTTTCCTCTCTGTCTCCCCCTCTGGACTCCCGTGCGGCCTTCTGTGGAGGAGGTCGGAGGAGCAACCCCCTGAGATCAAGCGCTCCAGACCTCGGACTCCAACGGTTCTTCTCCCTCGCCCTCCCCTTGTCGCCTTGCCCCCCCTCCCCTTGTCCCCTTCCCTCCCCTCCCTCCCCCCTCCGCCTCGCCACAATTCCTCAACATGAACACGGCTCTGATATCTCCCCTGAATACGTGCTATACCCTGCCTCCTCAGCGTATCCGCCTAACTACACACACGATGTCAACACATTGTCTGTCTGTTTCGAAGAAGAGCGTGCTCGGTGTGTCAAACCGGTGTTCCTGCTGCAGCGTTCGCCTCATTTCAGGGTCGACGCTTTGCTCCCGTCGTTCGGCATGTCGCTCTCGTGCCGTCGCGGGCCACATTTCCAGATCCAAGTCCCCGCTCCTGCTGTTCCTGCTGCTGCTGTGCATCATCCTCCTCCTCCTCCTCCTCATCATCATCATCAGCATCATCAGCATCATCAGCATCATCAGCATCATCATCATCATCATCATCATCATCATCATCATCATCATCATCATCATCATCATCATCATCATCATCATCATCATCATCATCATCATCATCATCATCATCAGCATCATCATCATCATCATCATCATCATCACCATCATCACCACCATCATCATCATCATCATCATCATCATCATCGTCATCATCACCATCATCATGCTGCTCCTCATCCTCCTCATCCTCCTCCTCCTCGTCTCCCCTCTCCCCTCCTCTCCTCCTCCTCCTCCGCCTCCTCCTCCTGCTACTCCGCCTCCGCCTCCCCTCTCCTCCATCATCATCATCATCATCATCATCATCATCATCATCATCATCATCATCATCATCATCATCATCACATCATCATCATCATCATCATCATCATCATCATCATCATCATCATCATCATCATCATCACCATCACAATCACCATCACCATCACCATCACCATCATCATCATCAGCATCATCATCATCATCATCATCATCATCATCATCATCATCAGCATCAGCATCACCATCCTCATCATCCTCATCATCAGCATCCCCACCCTCATCATCCTCATCATCATCATCATCCTCATCCTCATCATCATCATCATCATCATCATCAGCAGCAGCATCAGCATCATCATCATCAACAGCAGCATCATCATCACCACCACCACCTCCATCATCATCATCATCAGCATCAGCGTCCTCATCATCAACAGCATCATCATCATCATCATCATCATCATCAACATCAAAAAAACATCATCATCATCAGCATCATCATCATCATCATCATCATCATCATCATCATCATCATCATCATCATCATCATCATCATCATCATCATCATCATCATCATCATCATCATCATCATCATCATCATCATCATCATCATCATCATCATCATCATCATCATTATCAGCATCATCATCATCATCATCCTGCTCCTCCGCGTCCTCCTCCTGCATCATCATCCTCCTGCTCCTCCACAACCTCCTCCTCCTTCTCCTCCACCACCTCCTCCTCCTCTTGGGCGCCCGAGTTATCCGGGGTAACTCGGGCCCAGGGTAACTCGGGCTTGGATTCCCGAAAAACGAACCCGAGCTAGCCCTGACCCGAATTATCCCTGATGATTTGGGGCTCTGGACGCCCGAATTATCCGGGGTAACTCGGGCCTGGGGTAACTCGGGTTCGGATTCCCGAAAAACGAACCCGAGTTAGCCCTGACCCGAGTTACCCCTGATGATTCGGGGCTCTGATCCTCCTCCTCCTCGGCCTCCGCCTCCGCCTCCGCCTCCGCCTCCTCTTCCTCCTCCTCCTCCTCCTCCTCCTCCTCCTCTTCCTCCTCCTCCCTCACTATGATTATCATTATCATTATCATCCTCATTCTTATCCGCATCCTCATCCTCCTGCTCATCCTCCTGCTCATCCTCCTGCCCATTCTCCTGCGCATCCCCAACCGTCTCCTTCTCCAGCGTATCCAGCTCCCAGTTCTGATCGCGCATGGCATGATACGGTCATACGGGGAGGCTCCAGGTCCGCCATGGCGCCCGTCGGCAAATAGACAACAAATCAGCGCAATTACCGGGGGAGATTTTAGGATGTCTGATGCAGCGCGGAGCGAGCGCACCCAGCTTGCCCCCCCTCCCCCATCGCCCCTTGCTCCCGGCCCCCATCGCCCATTGCGCCCTCTCCCCCCCCCCTCCACCCCCGCCCACCCTCGCCGCACCCCCAGCCCCGCCCCTCCGCCCCGCCCCCCCGGCCCCCCGGCCCGCTCCCCGGCCCCTGGGGCCTCCTGGGAACTCATCGGGGCCGAGGGCTCGAGATGGCCGCTCGGGCTCCCCCATCTGGGTCCCCCCTTGGTGTCGTCTTGGGGCCCTCTTGGGGCCGTTTTGGGGCCCTCGTGGGCCGTCTTGGGCGCCCTCGCGAGCCGTTGTAGGCGCCCTCGTGGGCCGTCTTGGGCGCCATCTTGGGCCGTTTTGGGGGCCGTCTTGGGCGCCTCTTGGGGCCCCCCTCGGGCCCTCTTGGGGCCGCCCTGGGGCCCTCCGCGCAACAGCGCTCGCGCGCGCGGCGGCGCGGGCGCGCCGCCCGCCCCCCTCACGCGCCGCAGCGAGGCAGGCCCCCCCTCTGCGCACGCGCGGCGGCGCGCCTGCTCCTGCGGGGTCCGGCCGCGGGAGGCGCGGGCGGGTGGAGGACGGGCAGCGGCGAACGGCGAGCGGGAAAGACGGAGAACGAGGCACGACGAACGACGAACCACGAACAGCGAACGACGACGCCGACGCCGACGCCGACGCCGCCGCCGCCGCCGCCGCCGCCGACGACGACGACGACGACGAACGACGAAGGACGAAGGACGACGAACGACGAAGCACGAACGACGGTGGCGGCGCCGACCACGACGCTCCTCCTCCTTACTCCTCCTTCCTGCCCCCCGTCCCCGCCTGCTCGTCCATCCTGCCTCCACCTTCCTCCGCCTCCTCATCGTGCCTCCTCCGCCTCCTCCTTCTTGCATCTTCCCTCTTCATCCAGTGCGGGCAGGGCGGGGAGGGGGAGTGGGCGCATGAAATCTCGCCGTGCCTGGGGGGCGGCGAGCATAATCAAATATCCTTGTGACAACTGTCTGGGAACCTGACGTCACGCTCCGCTGCCAACGATAGTTGGGAATCCGTTCTCTCACTGGGCTCTGACGAGAGAAATTCTGGACGCTCATGAAAATGTGTATATACATATGTGTCATGCAGCTCCGCTGTCCTTTCGTTTCCTCAACGTCACTCTGACCGCGCGACTCCACACTGGCGGGGCGCGCCAGACGTATTCTGGCCTGGGAGACGTGGTTTTTTTTTTCTAACCGGGCAGCCACGAAAACAGGTAGGAGCACAAAGCGGCAAGCCAAGGATTTCCGCCGTGGTTTCCGCTCGTGCAGGCTTCTCCGTTTGTCCATCCACCGCAGCCGTTGGCACGAAACCAATAGTTTGCGCGCTGAGAAAACAACGAGTGGTCAGACATGTGTTGCGTTGCCTTGGGATTGGTTATTCGATTTGGCAGCTCAGCCGTTGTTTCCTTTGTCCCTCCCCGAATCCAAGACCGCGTAGGGCTTCGGGGATGGCGAAGCTGCTGACCATGCATGTATGATATGATGTCGTCATGATGTGTATTTTCCCTGGTGGTTCGCTCTACGATGCTAAAATATACGACGGTATGTTCAAGCCTGCCGGAGAACGAACTCGTGTGATATGGTGCGGGTTGCTGC